CCCAAAACCCCAAAACCCCAAAACCCCAAAACCCCAAAACCCCAAAACCCCTCGATTCAGCATTCAGTATATTTTCAAGATTAAAGCATTGATTTGAATTTATAAATTATTAAAATATGAGCAATAAAATCGTATTGAGAGTTTTCTCTAAAGCAGGTATATCTTTTCCCTGCATAAATCTCAAATAGGGAGATCAAGAATAGAAATTGGACAAGAGGAGCCTTTTTCTAATCTTAAATAAGAAGTAAATATAAGATTTTTTAACTTTAAAAATAGCTTCACCAAAGATTGAATGTTGATCCAGGAAGTTTACAATTGTTTTTAGACGACAAATATACAAAGAAAATAATAGGAAGGGATACTGATTCTCTTACCAACCTAAGACTTAGGTAAAATAGAGATGATCTGAAGTGATTATTAGGAATGGAGATATGATATATGTCGCAAACTAGGACACAAAGTTCACTTCAAATGTTGTGAGTGGTACTTAACCAAAGATTTAAGAGGAAATAAAAAATGAAGATGTGACTATGATTGATACAAGCACTCACAAGGGAGGCAGTCCTTCTAAAACAATGTCTAAGAAGCCTCTGACTGATGAGGAGGTAAAGAAAGCTCACTGCACTCATGGCTCAAATGCCAAATGTATCAATTGCTTAGGTGTGACAAAAGAAATGATTAAGGAAATGAAAACATAATGCAAACATGGGCCCAATGAAAAATGCCCAAACTGTTTTGAAGATGTCAAATCACAATTTAAGCATGAAAGCTTTGAGCATTATCTTTTGGAAATGAAGTCCAAATGCAAAGGGTAACATAAGCCTGATTAAAAATGTCAAAATTGTATGCCCATTCAATAACTCAGCTACAAAGTAAACTATAATTGCCCTAATCACAAACCATTCCCAGAAGGAATGTGTAATAAATGTGTTCCCCCAGCTGTAGTTCTAAAAAGATAAACCTTCAGACATGTGGATTATGTCTCTTTCATGAATTTCACAGAAATGGCTTCGTTTGTAGGAAGTTGGCAATAAACAGGGTGCATGGAGTAGAAAATGGCATGGTTATACGGTTATTACTCTGAGGATCCAAACTATCCAGAGGGTGTCAGAGTAAATATTGAAGCAGTTTATGAACCGCCACAAATAGGAGAAATAAATGGAGTGCAGGAGCTAGATGATCCTTTGTAAAACAAGGTGGACATGCTTGCGGAAGCTTTAACACTTGAGAAAGTTGGTTGGATTTTCACTTCAATCAATCATGATGCTTTCTTGAGTGCTTAAGAAGTCAGAAAAATTGCCAAATTATAAGAATAGTATAAAGTTTTACATCCAGAGGGTTATCAAGTCTCTAAATTCGTAACAGTAGTGGTCAAACCAAAGGGCGATGGTTCAGAAATTGGTATTGATTGCTATATGGTTTCAGATCAATGCTAAGCACTTGAAAGAGATGACATTTTTGGAAATACAGATTCAAGAAAGAAAATGACATTGAGAGAACCAACTCCAAATGAAATGATCCCATCAATAATTAAGGAAGGAAAACCAGCAAAAGAGTTTGAACCTGACTTCTTTATTGTATCTCTGACAAACGGTCAGCCAAAGAACAACAAAGACTACAACTATTTGAAGTTTTATGATTTCCCTGTATATAACAGATCTGGCAAAAAAGCACCAACTAGCAAAGACTTCAAAGATTATATTAAGAGACATAAGGGAGAGACATCTCAAAGGAAGTATGCTTGCTTTTAAGCACTCATATTTTTAGCAGAAATGCTAGATATCCATACAGCTCTAGCTATAGCTTAGAATGTTGCAAATGAGCAGCCACTAGATTCAGGCCTCGTTGAGTTATTAGAAAGTTTGTGAAATCTAAATACCTTTTATAATATTCTACAATACATATATCAGCTTTATCAAATTAGTTATTTATTGATTATATTCACGGGGTTTTGGGGTTTTGGGGTTTTGGGGTTTTGGGG